ATTCAGCTGTGTTAAAGCAGGGATGCATCTAATATCTGTAGGACAGTAGATCTTGAGGACCAGGGTTGGAGACCACTGCTATAGAGGATGTGCAGCTGGCTTCAACCAATCACATCACACGACTTTGTGTCCTAGGACAGCAAAAAAAAAAAACTTGCGTACCTAGAAAAAAACCAGCAGCTATTGTAGTTTTCCTCTATATTACCTTAAAAACACCAACAAAAACATGATATCTCGTGCTAAGCATATGGGTGTACGAATTAAAAAAGGAAGAAAGGACAAAATCTCATTTTATTGCTTCTCTTCACCGAAAGGTGAAGGAAATGGGTGGCTACTGTAAAGAGGCAGAGCTGACAACCAACTACAACTAGCAGAGTTTTCAGCAATCACTGCCTAAATGGTTAGCTATTATGCTCAGAGATTTTTTATTTAGACAGATGTGGAAATTGCTTCTTGTTTGATGCTTGTCAATAGCAAGAGTTTTGTCTAGTAAGAGGCTTGCAGGGTTTCTCACAGTAAATTAGAAGCCTGGAGCGCAGCCAGGCTTTATTAGTTCCCCTGCCAGGATAAGCGCCATCTTTGTATTTTAAATGAATTGTTTGAAAGCGACATCACACAGTGGTTAAGGTTCCAGTCCAGGAAAAAATATAGCTCTTTGTTATAGCCCAATGCACAGTATGTCTACCATGCTCCCCTCCTTCCAGAGGGATGATGCAGCGATCTCCCCTTATTGGAATACAAAAAATAGCTGTCTAAACTACAGTGATCAGAATGGTGACCAATTTCCAGGAACAGTCCCCTTTTTGGACCACCTATCCCCGGCTAAAGCTGTCCCCGGAAATGTCCCCGATTTTATTGTTTTATGATTGAAGGGGAAAATGTTGCATGTAGACTGTTATTACGGTAGAAAGAGCGCAAGAGCACGTTGCACGCAGAAATGGCTGTTACAGTAGCAGGTTGCGCTGCTATTAATGTAAATGAGGAACAGAGGAAGATGCGAAACTTCGTTATCACAATCAGTCGCAGCTGATTGAAGGTGCCCTGTGTTAGTGTGAGTGTGTTAATCGATTCATTTGATGTGGATTGGGTTGATCCCTGGGATTTAATGTGTTATGCTATATTAAAGATGAGGACTGGAAATGTAACATAAGACAAGCTAATCAACAAAAAGTAAGACAAGAGCCCAGGTTGCAGGTGGCATGAGGAAAAGAGACTCATAAAATGAAACAGAATGATCGAAAACTCTTGTAAGTCGCTAATCTGGTACATTGGTTCTCCGGGATTTAACAAGGGTTTGTCTAAATATGTTTTGATTGATGACCTTTAGTTTATATTTTCAGACACTTATAAGTAGGGTTATTATAAGTTGTTTTACTGATTTATGGTTGTGATTTATGAGCAACTTCCTGCCATGAGGTGTCCCTGTCATTTCCCACAGGAATGAGGCCCACGGGGGAGACCCAGGACACTCTTGAGGGACTATGTTTCTCGGCTGACTTGGGAGCGCCTTGGGATTCCCCTGGAGGAGCTGGCCCAAGTGGCTGGGGAGAGGGACGTCTGGGCCTCCCTACTGAAGCTGCTACCCCAGCGATCCAACGGATAAGTGGAAGATGATGGATGTATTGATAAAGTGGATTTTGTTTTATTTTCATCTTAAGATCATGCTACTACAGTAATAGCTTTATTTCAGGTTTAGGTAGTTTAAAATCTCTACTAGAGATTTCATTACATCAGTTAACAAGTTAATTACAATTAATAAATTTATAAATGCTTTTGTGAAGCACAGGCTACGTATGTTGAGTATTTCAGTGAATGGACAGAAATGAGCCGCAGGTAAACCAAATGAGTCATCACGTCCTCCTGACTGACTTGATAAAGCTCAACCACGGCCATTGGCTTCCATACGGCTGGCCCCGTGATCTTTCTGTCAGGAGGACAGAGGTCAGATCTAAAAAAAAAAAATAATAAAAACATGGGAAGACTCACTCTGCTGATGGAGAATGTGAACCCGGGCTTCCCTGAACACACGCCCATGAAGCAGAAACGCAGCTGCCAGTAGAACAAATGTTCACAGATGAAGGTGAGTAGTGACAGAATCATGGCAGCCCCGAGCATGTAGAAGACCCCAGCCATGTTGTCCACGTCCAGCTGGCTGCTCATCACCTCGTTCTTCTCGTTGTGACAGATTCCTGTCAGCCACAGGGCCTCGAACTCCTCCATGTCACCTGGAAATACAGTCACACAGGTATCATCATGGTAGCCTTGTTGTTAGTCATATATTTTATTTAGTTTTTATCAAAGGGAAAGAAGACAACATGGTGCAAAGCCTGAAGTCTCCAATTCAAGATGGAAAAAATGTCATGTAGAGCAGCGGTCCCCAACCACCGGGCCGCGGACCGGTACCGGTCCGTCGGTCATTTGGTACAAGGCCGCACAGAAAAAAAAAATATATATATATATGTATATAATTTCATCAACAACAATCACAGTCTGAGTGATGTTTTATTTTGAAAAATACAAAACATTAGGGTATTATCTTCCAATTACATGAGTCGGTGCATCTGTGCCTCTTGACACAGGTTAATTCAGGTCAAGACGCATCCTATCTATAACATCCTATGTTTGTGAAGCGGGATTTTCTGCGGTTACAGCGACCAAAACAAAGCTACGGAGCAGACTGGACATCAGGAGCACACTTCATGTGTCATTGTTTCCGATTACGCCTAGATGGGACCGGCTTGTTTCGGAGAAACAAGCTCAGGGCTCCCACTAATTCAACATAATGCTGAGTTTTATTTTTATGCTGTTTTTATTTGATTTTATGCCAGTCGTATCATTTTATTTTATCTCATTACCCCCACACTTTAAAGGGCGGTCCGTGAAAATATTATCTGACATAAAACCGGTCCGTGGCGCAAAAAAGGTTGGGGACCGCTGATGTAGAGGAATCTGACCATTAAGGATTGGTTATAGTAAGCTTTTGTTTTTCCTACCGAGTAAAATTCAAGTGTTAACTCTGTTTTCCAACTCCTGCTAAAGTCCAAAGTCCAAATCAGTCTTCCTCCTACACCTTAGTAAGATCCAGGCTTTCTCCTCAGGTCCATGTTAAGTCCCAAATCTTTCATGTCAAGTTCATGTCTGACTCTAATCTTATTCCGAAGGTTCAAGTCAATTCCCAAATGTTTCTCCCCAAGTCCAAGACATGTTTATTGGGGTAAAAATAATAATCGTTTCGTATCGATGCATCGATCCAACAGCCGACGATCCGATGCATCGATACGCCCGCAAGAGTATCAATTCATCTTTTTTTTTTCCTCCAGTCTATTTTTATCCGTTTGCTCCTGGGCGTAATTCTCCCTCCCGTGCTGCGGTGGCGCTAAACCTATTTTGCCCTCCTACCTCGCTTCCTGGTTATACTCTTACAGCAGTGTGTTGCAGTAAGCTTGACACAGACATTTTTGATTTATGCTAAATATTGAAGCATGGTCTGCGCTACACGCTGTGGGTCTAGATACGGCCGAGGCGGTGAGGAAGTGGGGGCGAGTTTAATCCGACGATGGAGGGACATGAGGGCCAAAAAGAGCGGAGATCCAGGTGGAAAAAGGGTCCCAGCGTTCTCGCGTACCTCGCTTTTCTAGCGGGTCAAACTTCATGAGTTTTTTTCCGCAATTTCGGTCATAAAAACAAAACAAGCCAGCCTCCTGTCTGCGGCACTGTCTGCGGTCAGCTACATCCTGGGGAGAGGAGCAGCTGAGCGTCTGTGGAGGGGGCGGGTGCGTCTGGAGCTGAGGTATTGCATTGCACTCATTGCATTGATTTTGTGCAGTATTTTTTAATGCAAGGCCTTTCAGAATCTATAACGCAGGGGTATTAATAATTTTCAGTGAATGAGGTTTCAATAGGAATAGGTGAAGTACAACTTTTCATACTTCTGTTATTTGCTGTTGTTTCTCAAATAAAATGCATAACGATATTACAGCTTCCATTGATTTATTTCAAATTTGAAACATTGTCTAGCCTTTAAGGTGTAAAAAAAAAATAAAAATAGAACCAATTAATCGAATTGAATCGTATTCTTGAGTATCGAAAATAATCAAATCGTTGGGTCAGGAAATCGATACTGAATTGAATCGCCATGATGGGTGTGATTTACACCCCTAATGTTTAATGCCTTTTTTGGAAGCATTAGTTAGGTCTAATCTTTTTCTCCAGACCTAAATCCCCAGTCTTTCTCCCAGCACTTAGTCAGGCCTAGTCTTTCTGGCCAGGTCCGAAGCTCTAGTCATGTCTTATCTTTCTACCAAGGTCCATACCCATTTTTTTCCCCCTAGATCCAATTTCAGTTATTTTACCAAATCCAAGTCAAATATTGTAAATGAAATGTTTAAATTTATTAACATATTTATCCCTCAACTTATTTTCACAAATGATCACCAAACATTTACTCTTTTTGCAGATTTAGCAGAAACAAATGAGGTATAATAATTTAACACAACAAAATATAAACACCCAGATACAGTTTTAACCACTTACTGACACAATCTAGACTTTGGAACTTACTTTAACCACTGATTACATAAGATAAACATTGCTAACAAGATATAGTCTGAACCTGGTCTCATGCACTTCACGGATAAGTCTACTGTAAGGTGTATTATTTTCAAATTTATTGTGACTTGAGTATATTTGTGAGCATTTTTTAACATAAACTTTAGTGAGCTTAGTCATTTCAGAAAAATAAAAGAACTAGAAACAGGAAATGTCTTGAATTGTAACAAGCTAAGAAATGGAGCCTGTATCTTCATGTTTTAGACCAAAAAAAAAAAAAAATGACTGACAACGCATCACTCAGACTGACAAACTGTCATTACTAAAATCCATGTAATCACGTTTATATTACTTCATTATATTGTGCCATCCAGCCCACCCCTCTCCTCCTCCTCCTCCTCCAACAATCACTGCTCTTTTCCTTCTTCATTTACATCTGTTCAGATTTAGGGTACTCTGTGTGCTATTGCAAAGACAGTGCTGAAACCCTCCCATTGCACGTATAACACCCAGCTCTCCCACAGACAAAACAAGATGTGACAGTTGTGAGCAAACATCGATGAGTCTGGTCTTCTAACCTGGATTGCTGTATGTGTGCTGACAGCCAAACAACCCACATGAGGTAATGTCGGAAGCATTGGCCTTATGTATACAGCAGTCTTTCTGCCATTTAATATAACAGGAGCCCTACACATGTGCACAGATTCATGCAATAAACATGTTGCATGCACAGATGTATGATATACAAAAGGTTTCCAAGGGTCTACATAAAAGTCTGAGTCATTCTGACACTAGGAGATCTAATTCCTGGTGAACGTGTTCTCTGTGCTGACCTATTTATCCATCACACAGGACACAATAGAAAGTGATAACACCTTGAAGGCCAACATCTTTGTATGCGTGTCTGCGTGTCAGCATGCTGCTCGGCATGAGATGTGACAGGAGGTAAGCAGCAAAGAGGACATGAACTGTTAGTGGAGCTGGATTCTCTAAGGGGAAAGGTCAACATTGTAGAGCTTTTGTTTATTTTATTTTGAGCTTTTCCTCAGAGAAAAAAAAACTAAAAATGCTGCCAAATCACCAGCCGGTCAAACTTTGAACTTTCTAACCTCCTATGGTTTTGATATGACTAAAAATAGCAGTTACCTTTTTTTTTTATTCATATTGTTGAGGCAACAGTTTTCAAACAGCAAATAGATGTAGCTAACCTATTTAAAAAAAAATCTACAGAGTAGCTTAATACAGCATAACAAAACAGAGGAGAGGGTAACTTTAAAATGGGAAGTTTGTGGTTTTTAAAATCTGGTATGAATCTGAATTACTCCATTTCAAGTGTGACACACCTAGATGGTATGAAGTAAAACCAGCTTTTAGAAGTCCTTTACTGAATAAATCCAGCATTGTAAAACCAGCAGTGTTAGAGATTCAGAGGTTTGCTAAAGAACATTAGTGAACCAACAGAACCTTAGAGAGTTCTAAACACAACAGACAGGTCAGGGAGAAAGTGTTGGGAAATTTAAAGCAGGGATAGGTTATAAAACAATTTCTCAAACTTTGAACATCTAACAAAGCATCTCTCAATTATCATCTGACACTACATGTACACATAGCCGTCTACCTAAGCCCAAAAGCCAGGGGAGCATTGCATTAAGAGTTTCACAGCTCAGGTGAGAGAATTTGATGACAGGACAACTCCTTCTTCACAAATGTGGGCTTTATAGTAAAGAAGAAAGTAGTCCCGTCTGCGGTTTGCCAAGCACTATGCTGGGAACACAGCAAATATTTGGAAGATGGTGTTGGACAGCTAACACTACACATCCCGTCACTCTAGCCACATGAGAGCAGTGGTGGAGCCAAAAAATATTTATTGGGGGAGGAACGTATCCCCCCAGAGGTGGCTATAAACTGAGTGGCTCCAGAAGCAGTTCAGGGTCAATCTACACTAACCACACTGTACCAACAAGAAATAAACAAGCATAACGTCTGTAGTTTCTAAATGAATCAATAAAGAGGCCAAATTCATCTGTAAGGCTCTTGCAAATAACTAGAAATATATTAATACATCTAAGCTGTCTAAATGAACAATCAAAGGTTTATATAAGTAATATAAGCATTAAATGGGTTGGACAGGTTGAGTTTCCTCCAAAACATAAATATTAGCCCAAATGGTTGACTCTAAACTGCCTTTAGGTTATAGTATGCAATTAGATGGTTGGATGGGTTGGGCAGTTGTTTTCTTTTCCCTTCCTACTTTATGTCATAATGAAACCCTATTGGAATACACAGACATCTGTGCTTATAATGTGACGAAATGGGAAAAGGTTTTGCTAACCATAGCAAGGATTTGTTCATAGCTTTGTGACCTGGTATAGAAACAGTAGGAGGCACCAAATAACACTTACAACAAAAAGCCAGAAAAGGTTGACCTGAGCTGAGTAAAGGCTTACCATGATGAGAAAAATAGCAAGTACCTAACTGTGCCCTTTCTACACATGCTGGGTCTGCCTTTCACACATTCAACTATAAGGCTACCTGGGCTGCTTGTTCAAAGAAGCAACAATAGAGCCCATTTTGTCCCACGTTTCTGACAGGTAGACCTGCAAAGAGCAACAAAGGAGCTACAGGTCTATCCTTCACATCGGCATATAAACACAATACAAGTGTTCTTGTTGTAATA